TTTGTGTAGGAGAACTTGCCTCTAGAAATTATTTAAAAATATAGAATACTCTGCAAAAGGAGAAAATAGTTTGTAAGAGGAAGACTTACTAAACTTCACAAGCTAGTAGAAAATGTTAAATCAAACATTTGTCCTCTGCCCCATTAACAGATTTTACTAATATGAAGTTCATCCTTCTCCTTATGTAATAAAAGTCTACACTTTCAAAATGGACACTTATTTCTAGAAATCATGTTCAGTTAAAACTCTATCCTGAGACATGCCAGTGGAGGCTTCATGTATCAGTATTTGCCCAGGCAAAGCTTGTATTTGTTCATGCAAATGTACAGCTAGGACACATAAATATTGATTTGTTTACATAAGAAAGATATTTCTGCTGGCAAAAGTTTTTGAAACTGTGGCCTGACATCTTGGCCCAGACTATTTAACGGCCTTTGAAGACACAATGTTAGCAGGCAAATTTTTTTGAAGTTTGCAAAAATATAACAAATTTGAAAAACATATGTTCAAATATTCAGGTTCAACCATTATGAATTTTGAATACAGCATTTCAGACAGAATAAGGTTTCACAGAAGGAAAGAGGGTCTCTATTTAAAGCAGGAGCCTGGGAAAATGAAGACATATGTTCAATTCCTGTTACTGCAATAAACTTTACTGACACTGGGCAAGTGTCCTAATCACTCAGTCCCTTAGTGCCCAGCTGGAAAAAGCAGCAACGCTGGTGCTTATTTTTCCTGTCTTGCTTCATTTGCCTTGAAGGTCTTGGAAACAGGATTGCTTCTGATTATGTACAGTTAGTGCTTGCAGGAGTAAGACCCAGATCTCAACTGGAAGCTCCAGGAACCACAAAGAGCAGGACTGGACAGTGTGAAATTAAAAGGGTGAAAACTTTTAGTATGGCATTTCTAAACACATTTCCTTAAGTGCTCCTTAGAAAAGGGGGAGGGACATTTCTTTCTTTTTTTTTATATTTAAGTTTGAATTAATGAAAATATTTATACTGAAAAATAAATCAATACTCTAAGGATATTGTAAGTAAAATTCAAGTATTTTAAAATTTAGCTAGCACTTCATAAATTTTACAGAAAACAAGGCCAGCAAGTTAGCATTGAGAACTACAACACGAACACCAATTTCTGCTGCTACTTTCAAACTACTGGTAGAAAAAATTACTTTTTTCACATGAAATTCTGGAAGGTTCTGTTAGATGGGGAAAGCAAGTACAGATAGTTCTCTCTTTTGCAAAGATTTGCTTATGAAAAAGGGTGAACACAGCATGATGTAAGATAGGAAATGTCAAAGAATGTTGTTATCCCTTTGCAGCCAGGACTGAGCATTAATCACTTTCATGGATGCACACAGCCTTCCACAGCAAACCAGCAACAGTGTGTCACTGAGAAAAATACCACTTTTGTTTGCAGTTTTAAGCTTTAATACTTGTAATTATGCATCCTTTTCATTACTAAAAAAAAATGCATAGTTTGAGGTCATGGATAATATTCATTTTTTCAGTAAAATTGGGCTATAAGAAAAAGAGCATCAAATATGCAAATTGTCTTCAATTGTCACAGAACTGAAAGGTGATTATAGCTAGGGCTGCACAAACTCTGACTTATGACATTTGACAATCAGCCATTGGCTATTTTTTTCAACAGTAAAATAAAACAGTGAAAGATGTTTCATTTCAGATCAAATGAAATTGTTAAGCTTGGATGGGGTTCTTTTGTTTGTTGTGGGTTTATTTAATTTTTTATTATTTTTCATCTAGTTCACTTTTAAATGTAATTACCTGCTAAGATTGCATTTTTTGAATAAAAAAAGAATTTCTGTTTGGAAAATATCAATATCAAGTTGATATCTTTTGAGTTAAAACAACCTAGGTTTAACAAATATTTTTATTTATTCTCTGTACAAAGAAAGCAGTAAAAAGTGTTTCACTCCACTTAGTAACACTAGACATCTCTTGGTTCATGTTACTGGCATAGAAAAGATTTGCCAGCTTCCAGGTAGCTCCTGAGACTTACTACACACCATCAGTGTTAATACATATGGAAAAATTACAGCTGTTTGAAATCAAAGGAAATCTGGCTATAATCTACCTGAGGGTGATATAACTTCAAAGTGACCAAGCGTCACTGAATTTTAGGATATACCTGGGCTACCAATAATCTGGACTCACCTACAGGGAGCTTTACAGAGCTGCAAGATTCAGATACAAAAATTATTTAGAATTTGGTAACAAACAACATTTTCAGATTGCTACAGCTACATGACTTTCACTGGAGTGAAGACCCACATTCTACCCAGATGTGTTGCCTTCTTGGGTGCAAAAAATGGTAACTGAGCAACACACACACATTGCAGTGTGGGATAACCAGTATCATCTGTTTTGGCCAATGAAGTGTTCCAGTGTATCTTTTGAAGTCAAAAAACTTCTCTCTAAGTAGTGGCATCAATATGAGTATTGCTGAGAAATCACGGTGATAATGTAGCTTTTCCTTTACAACTCTGCTCTTTCCTGTCCTTCTTTATTAATATCATTATCAAAAGAAGACCTAGATTTTGAGAAAGTAAAGGGGTGGTTTCCTTTTCCTGTGCATACCCAGAAAACAAATCCCTGATCCAATAATTGACATCCAGCTCCCATGGTTATTTCACTGCAGAACCAGAACAATTTTGAAATTGTTGATCAGCTTGCCACACATTGTAACTCTCCCCTAAATTATTCTGGTGAAAGCCCCGTCGACCTCTTTCCTTGGCAAGAGTCAACAGAGAGCTGAATTAAGTGCTTCTCAAGTCAGTCTCAAAAACTTTTGCGGCAAGCATATAATTGTTTTTCTTCCTTTCCCCTTTTTCCCCCCAAAAGGGAACAAGTAGCATCAGTCCCAAAACCTTAGGCAAATGCTGGAAGCCTTATCGGACCCCACACCACAAAAAAAATCCAGTGTGATAACACTCATCCCTTATTCCAGAGGGGCCACAATTTTCTTCCTAAGGAAAGATCTGTGCCATTTCCAGCCAGAGGTTACAGAAAGTTATACAAGCCTCCTGGTTCCACATGTGTCTGGGAGTATTTTATATGACTAGGTTATACCCATAATTTATCTGTTCTTTTATAGGGCTTTCTCACACAGCAATTCCTATCATGCACTTACCATTGATCCCAGCCAAGCTCAGACATCCCTTGGGTGGGAATGCAGAGACAGAACTGATGCATCAGTTTAATGGCACCCACATATCCTTCGTGTCTTGAGGATCTCTGTGTAACCTCTTGGGAGTATCTCCCTGTCCCATTTTTGCTACAGAGACATACAAAAGGTCAGAGAAGGATTCAGCAGGATGTGTCCTGAAGGGTCTTTCTCTGGTCTTAATTATTCTGATGTAGTTCCTTTGAGTTATAGGCACCATTTTTGCCTGTGAAAAGATGATCTAAGGTTTGCCCTGAACCCTGACTTTCTAAACATGGCTTTCTTATTCCCCCTTTCCCTTTGTCTAACAAATGGCTTTACAGAACTTCACACACCAAGAATATTTGATGTGAACAAGAGTGGAACATCATATAATTTACTTTCTAATTTTTTTACTGAATACTGAGGAAGCAATATGAAGCCTAGTGCTAGCTAGCAGTGTTCAAATAAGATGAACTCTGAATTCCATTAATTACTGATTTACTCAGTGTGTCTGGTAAATGATGCATAGCTTATTTTATCCACAACATAGGGGTTAACCACAGGGAATAGAATTGTGCGAATCTTTAAGAAAATTCTCACACAAGTGTATTAATACCAGATGTAAGAAAAGTATGCCACCAGGGAAAATAGAGATTGAAAATATTACTTAAGTGTAATAGTACATATGTAGCAAATGTAACAGCATACATTCACAGTTAAATATAATTTAAATAATTTTTTTGTCTTTTCAGTGAAAAATTAGTAGATCATTAATTTCAGGTGATATTTTCCATTATCAAAAGAAATCAAGAAATATTTGCCTGAAAAATAGCTCTTTTAATTTTTTTTTAAATTTTATTTCTTTAAAAAGAAATAAAAACACACATATTCCTTGTTAGTGCATTAGACTGGCTAAAGCAGAGTGAGTATGAAAGATTCTTTCAAGTCTAAAACCAGGACTTTACTGGTTCCTTCTTTGTTTCATATAAAAACTCATTGGCTTCAAATGCTCCCTAATAGTTGAATTCTAAGTTGAACTGTATACATGTTATCTATGATCTACTGTCCTCTACAAGCAGATGTCTTTATATCTACAGCAAACATTCTTGGCCACTTGTCATCGCTTATCCGAAATCATGTGAGTCCTTTTTTCCAGAGTCTCTTCCCTCAGATTAATCTGGAATCATATAACTAAAAGTAGTATGAGTTTAAAATAAATTAACTAGTTTTCAGTAATTCAGAAATCTGATGGCTTACTTGGCTTAGACAAACATGTGGAATTGGTATTAATCTATTGGATATTTTTCATTTTTAAAAAAGTTAAAATGAATGGAAATGTAATTCTAATAGATCTTATTTCTGTTTGTGCACAATGGTCCTACCAAAAAATTCACCTTCAGACACTGGCTGTTGCTACATATACAACGATAACAACTATTTTAAAAGAGGTTTTATATAAAGATGTAGTGTGTGTTCTGTAGATGCCAACTGTTCACAAATTAATTGGATTTATCAAGAAGTTGTAACCTCCATACTGAGTAAGTGAAGTTCAAGGCCCAGAAAGAGAGAGAAAATCAAAAATAAATTAGAGCAAAAGAAGTAAAATAGTGCAAATATCTGAGAGAAAAATCCATTAACTTTACCTTGTATGACCCTGTGGGGTCTGGTTTTGTTTTCCACATCTATTCAAGTGTATTCTAGGAACTTGCTTTGCAAAATAGCAAATTCAGTGAAAATTGAAGAGCAGCTTTAGTGTGCAGATACTGGCCATACACACAGGCAGCATGGTTCACAGATTTTTCCTTAGCTGGATATAACTACTGTCATCTTCTTCCTTCAGCTGGGTCCACATCTAGGATCAAAAATGTTATTAAATTCTCTGTATCACATACTTAAAAATAATAGTAATCAGGGCTGACAGTGAAGCAGAAAGGGTGCTAGTCATCCTGGACCACTCTAACAACTACCAGGCAAATTCTTCCTCTTGCAGGTATCTCACATTAAACCTCTCAGGCTTGGTTCACTCTGTGTTATACTTTTTTTACTATGGTGAGCGCCACACATTTAAAAAATACATAAAAAGCCCACCACAAGATATTCAATTAGCTTTTATTCTAATACCACAGCACTTCAGCCCACATAAATGATCAGAAATCAGGTATTTCACAGGTATTAATCTTCATTAACCCTCCCTGAAATCTTTATCGAAGATTTATTTTAATATATCAGCTGTCCTTCATCACAAAAAAGTGTGTCTCAACAGCAGGTGTTTCTCATCCTTATTGTATGTGCTCATCATAAATCCTGATAAAAAATGTATAGACCAAGATACAGACATGCAGCATTGCTTCTCCCCAGTGGTTGTTGGTGCCTAAATATGCTCATTAGAGAAAAATCATGCTTCTGCTGCACATCATCCACAAGGCATTATTAGCAAGAAATGTCTCCAAGTATTACACTGTTTGATTTCTTGGTATTATCAGATTATTACTAAGCAATCTTGCTCAGCATCCACTCATAGTTTTGAATTTATTTGGAGTTTCTTGCCACTTAAGCACAGCTTTTAAACAGTCATTTATATCCTATTTTTCACATAAGTCATGGTAAATTGACCACCAGCACATATCAGTACAAATTAGAAGTCAATAAAGGCAACCTAAAACAAGGACAGATTTTTGCAATTACCATGGCACTTTTCCCCATCCCATTATAATAATTACTTCCTACCTTATCATGGCAGAGAATCATAGAATCATTTAGGTTGGAAAAGACTGGCAAGATCATGAAGGCCAACTGTTCATCTAGCACTGCCAAGTCCACAACTAAACAATGTGTCTCAGTGCCACACCCACATCTTTTCACTACTTCCAGAATTGGTGAGTCCACCACTTCCCTGGACAGCCTGTTCCAATGTTTAACAACCCTTTCAGTGAATTATTCCAGTGAAAAAAGCATTCATAATATCCATTCGAAATCTCTCCTGGTGCAACCTGAGGATATTTTCTCTTGTCCCATCACTTGTTACTTCAGAGAGGGGGCCAGTAACCTCTTCATTACAATTTCTTTTTGGTCAGTTGTAGCCTCTGAATAGCATCACTTCATAACAAATTAGGCTTGTTACATTCTACAATGACAAAGTAGTACTTTTCCTGGGAGTTCAAATTTTTCATTGTGACCACAGTACTCTCTTGAGCTATATCATCACCTATCTTCTTGCAAAATCACGCATTTCCATTTCTTCTCAAGTAGTTAACAAACCAAAAATATTTAAAAACTTGGGTTTTTGTTAGACCTTCATATTTTCTTACTAAAAACTCTATGTAACTCTTAAGCACATATACAATTGTAAAAATCAGATGGGATCTTGTGAGGTAAAAAGTTCCTGTACCTAGTAAAATACTACTTTGCATCAATTGTATTTTTTAAAAATTCCTGACATAGAAATAACTTAGACTTAATTTATACCTTCTTACGTTTTAATAGTTCATTGGAAATTTTGTTGTACTTTTATTACCTGGTTGCTTTCTTATGCTCTCTTTAAAAATATTGCTTTCACAAGTGCTTCTGCTGCCTAGAAAATGTCTCTGAATTTGTGTCTCTACCCACTTCACCACAATGATGATCATTAAAACTATTTTCTTAATACGACTGTATATCTTGTAACAGAGCTATAATATCAATGCTGTCTCTATACTTCAACCAATGCTTTTTTAAAGCCAGCTCTAGGTGACCAACATCATTGTGTTCTTCACAATGTTCTTCATCCTGCCTGTTTTGGATTCTCTGTTTTAGCTGTGCCTTGTCTGCTATTTTCACGTCTCTAAAGGAGCTCTTTTTCTCTTGCCCAACAGTGGCCTGAGTCACAACTGGGTTCCCTTAGGCTCTGTGTTAATCTGTTGTCTTAAGGCAGCTCGTGGAATTCTTACCTAGTAGGTAGGAATTCCATTTCTGAATATTAACATATTCTTGCAAATACCATTGTGAGTACAATGAGCTGACTATTCTGATCCCACTGTAGGCAGCTGTGTTACAGGTAGAGTTCTTTCTTATTTTCCTACAATAATGCCTTAGTGTAAGGATCATTTTAATGTCAGTGCTGAGAGCGGGTATGGGCTCCTTCAAGTTCTCTGTAGAATCAGTTTGTGTTTCTTCAGTGAGAACACACATGCTGGTAGCAAGTTTGCTCACTGCTTGTTTCAAAGACAGTAACTGCACAAGCAGATTTTCGTACTCAGAAATTCCATTTTTTTTCCATGCTCCTGAGATTAGGATATGCTTTAGAGATAGTTGCTCCACCATATTTGGCTGAGATTTTTGCCTTTGATGAGATTGAGACTCCACATTCTCAGTCTGTTTTCTATACCTGGGTAATGTACCTGTATTATCATACATCAGTAATATTTCTTTGGCTTTATATCAAAAGAAGATGGATATTCAGGTTTGCCCAAAGGCTGAGCTAAGACGACCGGATCCTGACTCTGGCCCATCTCCTCCAGCCTGTTCAGAAGGCTCTGCTTGCAGCAGAACATGTTTGGCATTGCTCCCAGGGCCATGGGAACACACAAGAGCTGCCACCATGACTGGAGGCTAATTTAGAGTAACAAACGGATTCAAGGAAGACCAAAGCAGCTCACAAACAAGCGGCAGTCAGAGACAGAGCTAAATTTATCAAGCAACACATTCTGTCCACTCATTCCTCATTCATCTCTAATGACTCTGTGAGCATAATTATGTTTTTCTGCAATGGTTGTTTGAGAACATTTTTCTGACTATATCATAGAGCAACATTCTAACTCACCCAAAATAAAGCTTTTTTGTTTCTTTGTTTGTTTGAATAATTAAATCCCAGATGAAAGATTTGGCTTCTCCAAGGAGGGCACAGAAGATCCTTTCCAATAGCCATGAAAAAGTATTTTAAATCAGATTTGTTCCTAAGTCACAACATGCATAAAATCATTCTTAATATAGTTTTCTGGGATTTTTTTAGTACTAAAATGAACTTCAAAAAATTTAAGGTATCTATGAATGATATCTTACTGCAGCAGGAAACAAGCAGGACACTTAAGTCCTTTGAAAAGCAGAACCATATTCATTTACTATTTTTATTTATATTTGCTAAATTATTCTTAAGCTAGTCATTATTCCAAACCCAAGAATAATACTTTACTAGATGTGCTGCAAGCCATTTAAAAAAATAAGTTGCTATACTATAATTGAATATTTATGGAAGGTAGTAAGTATAGCTCAGAAAGCCTGACAAACATATATTTGTTAACCTAAAAAAAAAATAAAAAGGATAATTGAATACACCTGAATGAAAGAAAGCTGAAGCTTTAAGTGGCCAATGGACTATCATAAGTAGCTAAAATGGGTGATGTCCCACTTAATTTTGCATTTGCTGTAAGAAAACCTACCTACTCAACATCTTCTATATTCACATTAATTTTCAAAAATCATAAATTTCTCATTGATATTTTTTTAATGGATCTGTGGTCATGCTGTGTGAATTTCACGCACCAGATTATACTTGAAAAATTCTTGTGGCCCTACTGAAGTTGACAGGGCTACAAATGTCCACAGGCTTGGAATACTGTGCCCCCATCATGTCCCAGTATATAACTTGAAATGTGACAAGTCCAGAATTATTATTCTGGAATACAATTAAAAGAAAATTCATCAGCAGGGCATGCAGCCAACAACTACCTTTTACTCTGCACTTGAGGGATTACATTCCCCTAAAATACTGGCATGTTTGGTTGTGCAAGTTGGACGCACCAAGCTCCTTCTGAAAACTGATGCCTGTTTTGAAACACCAGGCTTTTGTGAATCTCTTTTAAACTTTATCTTTTAAACTTTATCCCTCCAAGGCCTCAGATGCTTGTGTATCTTTGCTGCTCACGACCACCAAAACTATCAAGTCATGTGCTTAAATGAAATGGGAATTTACAGAGAGCCAGGCAAGCACTAAAAGCTTACCCTTGGTTCACAACAACCAGAACTTGTAAAGCATGCCGTGCAATGAAATGAATGCATTTAAAGCCAGTGTTTTGATTGTGGCTATTTGAGAGAATAAGAAAACACATGGATCAGATATTAGTCTTTTGACTTGGAGGTGTATTCATACTGCAGTGATGAGAGAAGAACATTACCCTCCAGACCCTGTTCACACCACCCTTGAAGCAAATGGCAACAGTCCAGCAGTCATAAAAGAGGCCAAGATGTGTCAAGAGCATTTTTCAACTACATGATGACCTTTATGTTTTCTTTCACATGCTTCTCATTACAAAGCAATTAACAAAAGAAAGGGGGCTTCATAAAGTGGTTGGAAAAGAACTTACAAATTAAATGGCAATTAAATACATAACAAGAAACTACCAATTCATGAAGAAAGCAACAGAAAGGATTAAATAGCAGCAATGCCTTTAAATCACAGTCCTCATAAAGTATTCAAAATAAAAACACAGTTCATAAATATATCTTTGAATTCAGAAGCAAATGAGACAGTTAGTGGATGAGTAGACGTATTGTTTAAGCAAATTCAAATTTACCTCAAGAACAATATTTAGTACTAAATATTGTTCTAAAATTTAGGTCTACCAAAAAGCACTGTTTCTATAGCTTTCCTTCATGTGGCAGCACAAAACCTGTCAGAATAGTATCTGGTTTAAATACAAACCATATAGAAATCTGGAGAAGTAAGAATAACTAGAATGAAGGGAAAGAAAGAAAACCAAACAAAGAAAAACTACTTTCTCCAAAATACCTCCAAAAATGACAAGAACAGGCAAAAATCCTATGTGTAATGAAAGACAGAGCAGAAAAAAAAAGCAGCGTGAGTCAAGGGAAAAGGAA